CTGTGCAAATGTATCGATATTGTCAGCATTTTTCAGTTTTGATATTGTTGAAGAGTAATATAGAATCCAAGAGGCATATTTCGTCTTATTAACGACTCGTCAGCTGGATATACCTGCCTCAAAATGGGCGATATTGTTTCCAACAGGACTTGGACACAGAACCAGTTGTTCCGAAACAGGAAGGCAGATACATTTATCTGAAGAGTCCTAAATAGAACGAAACATCAATCCTGGATTTCACTACTAGCTATTATCCACCATTAATATTCTCTACACGATATATATATGAGTTTATTGATTCCATAGGTAATGTAAATGTTTTGGAAAGTATTATGTTATTATACTGTTCAAAAATGTTCCACTAATTGAAACAGTTTGTTCAATATGTGGCTACATTGACTCAGATACAAATAACATCAGTATCCTAATCAAAGTTTATGTTAGCAAAGAATGATACAGTATTATTGATTGGATAACGTTTCAAGGAGAATTTTCCCCTTACTAATGATATCACAGTAATCATATGACTTTCAAAGTTCATTTTTACAGTCCAATATATGATCAATCATTCTTGTTACATATGTGTTGGATGCTGATTGATTTTATGAACAAAGATTGTGTGATCAATCTCTCCCTCCATCTAGACAGCTATACTGGATTTTAGAATTGTCACTCTGACTCCCCTACCCACCCTATAGTGTGATTATAGGTCTGTGCAGAGACAGCGATAGCTGAGTTCTTCTCGAAATTGCTTATCTTAGTAGGGTTTATCATTTTGCGTTTCGCGTTTCTTATCGTTTGATAGATTGGGTCTCTCATGTCTATACATCTGTTGATTGCTGATTGACTTGAATGCCGAACTTCTAGGAATTCTCTGATATTCTCTGTGTTTCATCTCTCCGTTCAAAATTTCTACATTGTCGAAATTGAATTCATGTCAATAGTTGTTATCCATATGCATTGAAATGAGTGATGAAACGTCGTGGCGTTTAATAGCCAATTGATGCTCATGTAGACGAAGGCGAAGAGGGCGGCCGCTTCGTCCAATGTAGTGTTGACTACAGTTAGCTGTTACACTTGATTTTGTAGATGATATTCTGTTTGTCTTCTTTGTTTGTTGCATCCTTTGGTCTGCATAATAGTGTTTGGAGGGAATTTGTTGGATAAAGTGGTGGCCCAACTTCGTCTTCGTCTACGTGAACACCAATTGGCTATTAAATGCCATGACATTTCATCACTCGTTTCAATACGCGTGCATGACAACTATGGACACGAATTCAATTTCAACAATGTAGAAATTTTGGACGGAGAGAGGGAACACAAAGAATATGATCAGAGAATTCCTAGAAGTTTGGCATTCAAGTCAATCAGCAATCAACAGATGTATAGACATGAGAGACCCAATCTACCAAACAATAAGAAAAATGATAAACGAGAGAAAGCTGAAAGGTCAAGCAGAGGAACAGCCTATCAGAAAATCCTTACAGTCAGTCAATGACACAACAACCAAAGGAATCCACTAATCACAGATCACATTGTCAGAGTAATCTACTAAATCACTGACGGAGAGATAGTGACAGGTAACTTCATACTGAAGTTAGTGATAATGGTGTCACTGTCTAGAAAGACGATGAAAGCTTCTTCATGATTAAACAGTCCAGCCAGCTCAGAGAACACAATACAAACAAGACCATCCACCTGAGCCATAAATATTCTCCTTCAAACCCACCTTATTCAGTCTCTGTTTCACTCCAAATGTATCAGTGGACCTAGATTTTGAACGATTTCTAAGAAGATATAATATTCCAGATAAATACTTGAATAACTCATATGTTGGTACAGTGCATGTCGTCTCACTCGATAACTATCAAGTCATTATTATTATTATTTGTCCCTTGGGTGCCTAGTGGAATACACCACTTCACTAGCACATCTCCATTACACTCTCTTCTCTGCAATCGTTTCAATCTGGCTTCACCACTGCCCACAAGCTATCATCTCTTTCTCACATGATCTCCTCCATTTCACCCTCAACTACGACCCCCAACTCGTCCTTTCCCATCTCCGTTCCACTCGACAACCTGACCTGGCACGTCCACCTTCTCAGTGTATGCCCAATTCATCTCCACTTCCTTCCAATGCATATTTGTTCAGTGATAGCTTCTTGATTCGTTGGTTCGTTGCCAGTCAGCCAGCCAGAGTTCCTTCTTGATTATTCTTATTATTCTGGCCATGTGATCTGATCTTCAGTAACAAGCCAGTGTAGGTAGATGTTGATGAATATATCTGTAGTTTGTTGGAAATCCCTTTTGTAACGCGCCAAGTCTCTCAACCATCACACAGAAGCACTGACTTACTTGATTGAATTGGTGTTGAAAATCCAGATGTTGTTGACGCTTTATACTGAGTGCATTAGATCTCTGCATTGGTTCAGGTTAATGAAAGCCTGTCTGTCTCCTGCTGATGGTGATTGGAGCTTGTTGCTGTTGTTGGTGATGGTGGTGGTGGTTGGGTATCTTCATCACCTCTGTCTTCTCTACGTTCACTTGAAGTCCCGTCTTCCTTCACTGCCTCACCTCTTCTATCAACTTGTTAGTTTTTGCCTGTACATCTTCGAGTTAGTGTGACATTAGACACAAGTGATCGTTGGCGAAATCCAAATCTTCTTGTGGGATCTTTTCTGCGGTCCAACATATCCCCAAGTCTGTCAAGTTAGGCTTGATAAAATGTCCAAGTAGTAATCGAACTAGGGGTTTGAATAGTTAATCAGAAAATATTATCAAAGAGACATTATTTCTTAATAACTGATATGGGGATAGAGAGAGACAAACCTAGTCTGGAGAGGAAGTAACTAAAATGTACCTTATGTTATCACTTCCACAGCTTGACAGCTACATGGTGGATCAGCCAACCAATAGGATTATTTTAAACAGCGAACTATCTTTATATTAGTTGTATTTTTCCTTTTTCCTGGTCTACAGTCTTTCAACTCCAATACACGTTACTACAAGTCTATCGTGTCTTCTCCATTAATCAGTCAGGTCAAGAATCAACTAGGAATTTATTGAATGTTCCTGGCTGACACTCGATATTGGTACATCGTTAGAGGTCATAGCAGTCTTCGAACGAAAACAGTTGGCGAAGGATATTGAGAAGTGAATTCTTCGAAGTTGGACAAATTCCTGGAACAACAAGTGAGGATTGTTAAGATTCTAACGGAATCCAAAATGTATCCTGCAAAATCATCGCCTACTACACCACTTTTAATACCACCGTCAGTTGACCACATTCTCAATACCACCACTGAATTTCACTATCATCCTCATGTCAATAAGACTTTCGACTACTGGTTCAGTCATTACGAAGACTACTTCAAAGTGGATATTGCTGGCTAAGATGATTCCTGGAAGGTATGCCTCCTATTAAGAGAGGTCGGTCCACATGAGTTCGACCAATACTGCAACATTATTTCGCCTCACAATGCAAATGGTCACACTTTCAACACCACAATTCAGACACATAATGAGATATCTCCAGAGTATCAATGACTGCGAAACACACCTACAGCATGATAACAGTTTAGCCGAATCCAGACGGTAGAGTGGTAATGAAGTTCATACGGTTCACCAGACATCTCATTACTCCATACCACTATCTGGTTTCATCTCACCTGTTCGTACATCCAGTAACTCATACGATACCAACCGAACCTCGAACAAATTACTCCGATCATCTTCCTGGCATTTTGTCGAATCTTCTCCACATAGACAACATCGATGTTGGGATTGTAATACTGGTGACGATAAAGATGGTTGTACCGACAACACACAGTGAGGTGTAGAAAGGTCATGGTGCAGATATCACCACAGATCCCATTCTCTATCGGTAGTTAAATCTCTTTGCTTGATAACTGATTTTCATGTTCATGGACCATCCCACCGAAATAATATAGAGAAGACTACTGATTGCCTAGTAAACAAGGAGAAACTCCATCTGCATCTGTCAGATAGATGCAAGAAAAAAGACATGGTGATCTATCTATAGATATAGTTCACGCGAAGTCAATTTTGATTGGTCCATTCCCGGATCAGTCTGTTCTATCCACTGTGTGGATTCTGTTCAATCCACATATCTCATAACCAAAACTTTAGGATTTGAAAAAGTTTCCTTTTCTTAAAAAAATTGAAGTGATTTTTTACAGTACATTGTTAACGCTTAATATAACTACATGGCAACTCCCAAGGATGTATTCAGTTTGATTAAATATTTTTCAAGCTAATTTTAATGATTATTGCATGATATTATTTTGTACTGTGTGGATAGTCCCTTAGATACTACTGACAATGCATAAATTAGTTCCTAAATTGTTTAGGATATGAGTAGACATTTTCACCAATTGTACTACATATACTTGAGTTTATTCTGCAGGATATCTATCAGTCTCTAGACAAGAAGCTTTTAGCTGACTTCACCTCTGAAATGACCAATCATTTTGTTGCTAATCGGTTGTCTGTGTGTGGGTGTATGTCTTTTCCTTTTTCAATTGATAAAGTATCAACTGACACATAATCTGGTTGATAAACTTTTCCAATTTCACAATAATTGAAGGATGTATGCATTCAAGGAATTTCACTGAGTGAAAATCAATCAAATGAATGGTCTTCTCAAAGGTGATCTGTTTTACTGGCACAAATTGGTCACCAGCGCCCAGCACTGACCAAATTCTATGGATGGCGTTTGCAGTGTGATCACTAAGTGAGATAATTCACCAGTGGTTATGGATAATGGGAGGAATATGTCCTTACAGGAAGGGGGGCATCACTCTTGGTCCAAGTAGCTTGGTGATAAAGTTTCCAACGTTTCTGACGAGGGTCGAAAAGCACAAAACCTAGGTCCAGGGTTTCCCTTTCAATGAAACTGAGTACTTATCACTGATTTAATGATTAGACTCACCTCTCTCTCTCCTATTTTCCTTGTCCCCCCCCATCACCGAATTCCAGTTGTTTACAGTTTTAAAAAATTCACCGACCCATCAACAGTCAAAAATGAAGTTACAAAATCCTCTATCGGTTTACTTCATCAATTAAGTCTTCAGACACCGAATGTACTTAAAGATCAATTTGAGAACACAAAATGGACGTTTAGCCCATTACATCCAAAGCCGATAGATCGTGGTGATGGTATTGGAGCGTTTTCTTCTTCTCTACCTCAACATCAACACCACCAGCAACAGCAGCAGCAGCAAGAACAACAAAAACCACAGCAAACTAAAGATGGTCAGCCAGAGAAAGAAGAAGACGAGGTAGATGAGGACCAGTCAGATCACAAGTCAGCGGAACGACAAACACATGAATGGCTTCAAAGTGTTATCACTGACGGGGTAATGAATAAAATACTTCCTATCCCCATCATTATTGTCGTTACAAAGGTGAGTGGCTTCTTATTCTATGCACAATAGTCACTAACAATACTTGCTTCATTCAAATAAATTATACTCGACAGACGCTTCACCGTTAACACAGATGACTTGTTCAAGATATCCCGAATCATATAATGTTACTATTCCACACACATATTCAATTCGAGCTTATTGATGCAGAGTGCACCAACTGGTCATTGATTTTTAAAATTTCAAGGCTATGTCAACCCAACTGGTGAAATAACCAATTACATTCCTCCAGTTTGTGGAAAACTACCTTCTCTGGTAAAATTCTGAAACCTGATTGGTTATTTCGCCAGTTATTTTGAGGTGACCTTGAAGGTGAATAATACATAGGTGGAAAAAATTTAAAATTCCTAGGTCAGTCAAATGTGATTACTCATAATGAGTGGATCGAAAATTCAATATAATTTATTGATTTCACATAGCAGGTTGGTCACTATACATAAAGATTATTAATTACATTCTCAGTTGATTTTTATTGATATTTATGGGCGTTTTAAAGACAAGCAAAGAAACAACAACAAAGGAACATGTAAATACTAGAACGGAACATGGTAGGGTAGTTGATTGATTAGAAGGAATGTCAGAAAAAGAAATCAAAATTACAAAAAAAAAATTAATTGATAAACTCACTTAAAGTCAAAAGTGTATATCTTAAGATTTTCGTAGACCAAATAGATCTATATCAGACTGCTAGTCAGTGGACAGCTGTTAATCTATTTTTATCATTGATAAAAAATACACCAGTAAACCATTCCAAATCAACATATTCCTATTGTAGGATTAGAACATGGAATCGATTAGTGCTTTAATCAATAAAAGTTTTGTGAGTTAAAACAATCAATGTCAGTAGATATGACGTTAAGAAGAGAATATTGGCACACAAATACACACACACATATATATATAAACAATAAAAGTTATATGTGGGAGAAAATCAATATTATTTATTGATTATTAATGAATTTAAATTTTTCCCATTATGAATGCCATTTGAATCATACAATTACTACTTATTTGAAAATAATTTTCAGGAGCATTTACTAGATAATTGCTGTATCCTAGTTTGTAACTCCTTCAGCAGTGAACATACAATCTTGTGAAGGATAAAGACTAGGACAGCCAGCTGTTTTGATAGACCCTAATTTCGCATTCAATCTTTCAATGGTTTGTAATTTGATTGGTTCAGGCAGGATATACTGTGACCTTCAAACAGTATGCGTAAATTTGAAAACAGAATTTCCTATACGATTAAGATAGAATAAAATGTAGTAGAGACAATCGTTAATTTCATGAATAAACACAAGTCTGAGTTGAGATCTAAAGGGTACTAAACAAATCTCATTCTATTGTATAGACATAATGCTTGAATCACAAATACACACGCATACACACATTTATGAAGATGGGTAATATTGCCCAAGATTTGTAGCTGAGGATGATGATTGTTTAGTGTTCTAGAAAATCTGAGGTTTGTTCTTGGATACTTCATCATCAACCAAGATAGGCAGCGGTGTCTTTAGTACTAGTTCTATATAGAACTGAAATGTTTTCACGTTTAATGAATATTCATCAAGTCTATTCGCTGAGAGGAGTAAGGCAAGGTTATGTACTATCACCCATGATATTCCTCATTGTGGTTGACTGGACTGGATCATGCAACAAACAGTGAGGAGTGAGAAGAGGAGGATACACTGGCTGGACCGGAAGAAAGATCCCACAAGAAGATTTGGATTTCGCCAACGATCACTTGTGTCTAATGTCACACTAACTAGAAGATGTACAGGCGAAACTAACAAGTTGACAGAAGAGGTGAGGCAGTGAAGGAAGACGGGACTTCAAGTGAACGTAGAGAAGACAGAGGTGATGAAGATACCCAACCACCACCACGACCACCAACAGCAACAACAACAACAAGCTCCAATCACCATGAACGGGAGAAACTTAAAGGAAGTAGCCTCTTTCACTCACCCTCCTAGGCAGCATCGTTCTAACTACAAGAGGCACAGGCACAGATGAGGATGTCAAAGCAGCCAGAATCGCAAAGACAGCAAGACAGGCGTTGATTAACCTGAAACCAATGTGGAGATCTAATGCACTCAGTATAAAGCGTCAACAACATCTGGATTTTCAACACCAATTCAATCAAGTAAGTCAGTGCTTCTGTGTGATGGTTGAGAGACTTGGCGCGTTACAAAAGGGATTTCCAACAAACTACAGATATATTCATCAACATCTACCTACACTGGCTTGTTACTGAAGATCAGATCACATGGCCAGAATAATAAGAATAATCAAGAAGGAACTCTGGCTGGCTGACTGGCAACGAACCAACGAATCAAGAAGCTATCACTGAACAAATATGCATTGGAAGGAAGTGGAGATGAATTGGGCATACACTGAGAAGGTGGACGTGCCAGGTCAGGTTGTCGAGTGGAACGGAGATGGGAAAGGACGAGTTGGGGGTCGTAGTTGAGGGTGAAATGGAGGAGATCATGTGAGAAAGAGATGATAGCTTGTGGGCAGTGGTGAAGCCAGATTGAAACGATTGCAGAGAAGAGAGTGTAATGGAGATGTGCTAGTGAAGTGGTGTTTTCCACTAGGAACCGGAGAGACGATTAATAATATAATAATAAATTCGGTGACGTTTAGCGTTATGGGCTTTTGGGTTGCGATCATCTATCCTTCTTTCCTATCAAAGGTTGACCTCCATCTCCGGTGTTATCATTTGAACTATCTTATCGAGATAATGTTTAATTATTGATTTGCTTGACTGATTATCAATTGGCTGATCTCTTCTCAGTAGTCCTTAGATTGGGTCAGTGTTCACACGTTTGTTGACTACCGTTCGATTCAAAGAACTAACTCTCCTACAGATTGTAAGCGTTTCCACGCTATTCAAATCGAAGTTATGGTTATGTTTACCTACATGAATCGATGTCAGTGATGATAGATCACGTCGTTTGACCGTTAGCTGATGCTCACAAGACTGGCCTACATACTGATGTTGATACTCCTTGCAACTTATTTTGTAGATTACATTCTTCTTATTCTCTTTGGGTAACGAATCTTTCAGCTTCCATGAGATGGTTTGTGTGCTAAATTGGGACCGAAAGGGCGAAGTAGTCGGTTGACAGTCTCTGAGAGATTATTGATATACAGAAAAGTTATTCGTTTTATAGTTTGAGGTAATTGTCGTGATGTATGTTCCATTGGTGTTTATTTCTTGAAGTCAATTGGAGTCAGTGACAACTGATTTCGTCCTTATTCGCTGACCGCCGCAACAGGTCTAGGTACATTTGGGCACTGCTTGTACACAACTCTTCTTATGAACCATTGGCTTGTTAGTGTTACAGTTCAAAACTTGATCTGTGTACTGCTATCCCCCTTGCAAGGGTCCCATCATGTGTTCGTTTTGGAAACCGACTACGTAAATTTCTTGTTCGCCTTCTTTTGAAACATTTCGTTCCCTTGATAAACCTTAACAGAACGCTAAAAAACGTGTATTGTCTGAATCCTGTGTAATGTGGATTTGCGCAACACATTTCGAACTATCTGGTCAATCACACACATACCTGTTATATGGATATATATGAGAATTCATGAAGATAAAGTCTGAGAATATGAAAACAGGATCAAGTAGGAAAGCTGAATAACAATGAAAATCAATAGAGTGGAAATAATAGTACATCGAACTTCTTTTTCATAGGTGAATTCATCAAGGGAGATTTAATGTGGATAACAAATTCCTTTTTGAACACATACAAAGGTGGGTTAAACTTCTTTATAGCTAAAATCTCAAGAAATTTAAGGATCCGTACTCAACACGTTTTGTATATGGGTCTATAGGAAGTAGCCATGTGAATTGTATGACCTATCTGAACGATATGTTTTGCAATTGAAGAACTTGGATGTCTGCTAACAGTATTTATGGGTTCAGGTGATTTAATTTGCTTGTCGAGCCACTTTGGAATATGATCCGAGGTGTTAATTTGCATGGATCTATGAATCCTCTGTTTTTTGTGTGTATGTGTCATCATATATACATTTGAATTGGTGGATCCAATGGAATGAGACATTGTCGTTCACATGTTTTGGGGGAATATACTAGCGCTTCATGATTTCTATTCATCCAACCATAAATGCATATTAAGTCCTTCTACCAGTAGACTGAAGTCTCTGCCTAAGAATTGTATACAAGAGTGATAAATGTATTTTTCTTTGGGGGATAAAGTGAAAAGTTGGTTTTAGCGCTCTGGTTATTTTGTGCTGCTGAATAAATTTTGATGGATGGTTACTTTCCAACAGTATTTCAGTCGATATTCCTCTTTCATCTTTCCTCTGTGCATATTCATTGAATTCTACTGAATAAACATCTGAGTAACACTCACTTCTACTAAACTGAGCAAAAGTTATGATAGTTCAAATATTTCTCTGTTCATGTAGGTTTTCTGTGGATCCATCCTGCCCCCGAAAAGTTGATATGTTCAAGAATGGCAAACAGTCGTCTTCCTCTTCTATGCATATCAAGGATATGCTGTTCTGCGCTTCGTTCAATCAGTTTAGAATTGAAGTAGACTGACTTAAGTTATCTGAAATAATTAGGATGTCATCGACATATCTTCAATATAGAATGGCCTGGTCAGTTAGGTTTTTGGCTATGTTTTCCACGTGTAACATAAATATATCGGCTTGGAGGTGACCTAAAGGACCTCCCATAACAACGTCATTAACCTGATGGAAATGTTCACTACAGAATATATAGTTAATATTACTTGTACATAAAAGTAGTAGCTCTTTTAAGGGATCCAAAGAAATAGGTTTTACACCGAAATATTTATTTTATATACTTCATTTGTCAGTTTGGTTCCTAGTGGAACATGGGGTTTCAGAAACACGTCGCCACTTCATTCTCCTCTCTGTAGTCTTTTCGACCTGGCTTCACCACTGCCCATAAGCTTTCATTTCTTCATCACACCATCTCCTCCGTGTCACCCTCAGGTAGGACGCCTAACTCATCGTTTCCCTTTCAGGTTCCACTCAACGGCCTAGCCTGGAACGTGATCTCCCCAGTCGACCTTCTCAGTGTATGCCCAATCCATCTCCACTTCCTTCCAATGCATATTTAGAAGCGATAACTTCTTGGTTGGTTGGTTCCCAGAGTTCCTTGTTGCCTATTCTTTCTAGCCATGTGATCTTCAGTATCGAGCCAGTGTAGGCAGTTGTTGATGCATGTCTGTAGTTTGTTGGAAATCCCTTTCATAACGCACCAAGTCTCTCAGCCATATAGAGGCACTGACTCGACTTTGATGTTGAAAATCCGGATCTTGTTCACGCTTTTTGCTGAGTGTAGAAGATCTTCAAACTGGTTTCAGGTTAATGAAAGCCTGTCTTGCTGTCTTTCCGATCCTGGCTGCTTTGACGTCCTCGTCTGTGACTGTGCCGCCTGTAGTTGAAACAGTGCTGCCTAGATAGGTGAAGAAGGCTACTTCCTTTAAGTTTCTCCCGTTGATGGTGACTGGGGCTTGTTGTTGGTGGTGTTGTTGGTTGAGTCAACTGGTCATATAGATTTTCAAACTGTGTCTGTATAGGCAAATCTCATGACCACTTTCAAGCGATAAGGTTTCCTTCTGATATATAGACAGTGTTACTATACAAAGATTAGTAATATATTTGTCTAGATTAACAGGGAAATAATGAATATAATTTTCATTAAAAAGCAACAATCTGAACAATGAATAATATTCTTCTCAATAATTATTCTCTTTGCAGGTTCTACTTTTATGAAATGTATTTGTACAGTGCAAAAATAAGCCATGTTAGGGGGGGAAGTACATTTTCAAAGTGAAGTGAGAATTAGGGATTGTAAGGAAATCGATTTATAAATTAGTCAATATTTAAATGATACATATATACAGAATGAACGATATGAATAAATAAGATGGTAGGAGTGGCCAAGAGAGAAGTAACACTTGAACATGTTCTTTCAGAATGCGGAGTTCAGGTTCGATGAATGTCATTGCGATAGCCTTCGATATGTTGAACAGGCAATGATGCGCTACATATGATCACGTTTTTGGAATATGATGAATGAAATTGAAAACTGCATCAACATCTATGTGATGCCTTGTGTCAACTAGATGCGCTAGGATTGAACTCTTCACCACTTTCACTTCGCCCTTTCCGAACCAAGATGGTAAATGCTCTTGTATCCAGAGAAGCACGTGCCTAATCGTATGCCCTATGTAACTAGTTCCATAGGAACAGTTAAGTTGATATTATCCAAGATGAAGAGCTAAGATTAGGTAGGGTATCCTTTATTCTCGAACTGAGTATTGGCCGACTACTGAGTGATATGCAAAAGCCGACCTGCTCTAGCTAGGCTTTGTGATAGAATGTCACTTGAAACATCTCCCTTGAATTGTAAGCGCAGAAACAAACTTCTTGTTTAGCATCAATGTCGAGTGAACTGTGAATACTTTCAAAGGTTCGGTGGGTGATAGTGAAATCGTCTTCCGATTCACTTGTTTTTATATTATACTATCGTTGATTGAACCGAATTGATCGGTCTCTATTGGTATATGGGTGCCTGTGTGGATGCCTCGATATCACCTGTGTTCTACTTATAGTTAGGATGGATAGTGGCTAGCAGTAGAATCCGCACAGGAGCCCATATACCAATAGGGACCGATCAATCCGGTTCAATCAGCGATGGTATAATACAAGCAATAATACTAAAAACTATACTCATCGCACAAGAATTGGCTATCGTAACTAGGTGGTCTAGCGGATAACGCTCTGGCGTTTGAAGCGTCGGCTCCCGAATCCGAGTCCCGGTGGGAACAACATCACTCACTGGAGACGGGTACATCTAGCTGACCAGTCCCAAATAGGAAGAAGTACGCATTCTGCATTCCACTGCTAGCCATTATCCATTTGATTATTCGAATGATTAATTGTGATGAATATCATCTGAAAATCACATATTATATACCTTATACTTTTTAGACGGATATGGCTGATCTTCTTGAAAAAGATTTTGGATATACAGACGAGAAATTCGATTATATCTTATTCAATCTACGTAAATTATGTCTTGAATGTATCCTTTTTTCTATCAGCTGATTACAATGTTTACCTTATGTAAAATGTTTAATTAACTAATTCAGGGGTTTGTGGGAGGGGGAAGGTACTTATTTATTCATTAAAGGTTGATGTTCATCATGGACTGATATAAGTTTGGAGAAACACTGAGTGTCTGTGAGCTCTGGACAGCTGCTTCTTTCAATTGTCAGACTTCTCATCTATCCAGTGCTCCTCAAGTTTCTAAATGATATGAATCCATGATTGATACAAACCTGAACTGGATAATAATTAGGTAGTTGTAGAAAAGTTGCCTCATCCCCCTTCTGAAATTTATCACTAGCATGTACCTACCTTTTAATGATCATGAGTTGATTTCTATTGAGCATGTCATCTTGATGTCAGTTAGAGTAAGGTGGAGGAACTGACTACCAATTTCGTCTCGGAGTGCTCAGTCGTCTGTACGTTTCGTGTAAATTAAGGATTTACACCATGACTTTCTAACAACTTGAAATTTTTTCCAAAAATGAGTCACACTGCAACTCAGCAATCAAGTGCATGACTCTGCACTACATTTATTGTAGATAGGGAATCATGTTACTACGTCACTGGTCAGACATTCATCCGTGGAACAGACTTCCAGCCCGTGACTTACTAGTTGAAAATAAGGTGAGTAGTTCTGCAATACGGTTTTTGAATTGACTGATGTTGAACTACCTTTGGAAACTAACTTCATGGAAAAGAAACCTTTAACACTGTTGACCAGTGCCTTTAGGTATTATTGTGTGTGTAGCGAAAGATGATGACTGCCTTCTCCACTACATGACTTGAAGATGAATTCGGATAATTTTGTATTATGTGCATACAGTCTATTGTTACATCAGTAAATAATTTCCTTCAACTGATTTCAATAGGATTTTCATCATGGATTGTCATCACTTGGAGAACCATTGAAGACTTAAAACGACTGGACAGTTGTTTTCTCTTGGTATGGGACTCTTGAGGAGTACGCACAGACGACTCCTCGATGAATCGAGCTCAGGAATGGTGTTTCTCTCCGTGAGCACTTATCAGTCACCCAGTGAGTTAGGAACAAATAGTTCGCTTTATATTACTATTCAATAGACTTGAACTATGAAGGAATAGTCGTCCATTGCCCCCCCCCCCCCCTGTAAACAATGTAATTATATAGTTTATACAAGTCGAAACATACTTTCCACTCAAGAGTTGAAAATTGAGACTGGATTGTTATCTGAGCTGAAATTCTGTTCAGGAAGCGCCTACTAATCAAGCTAGACACGATTGACAGTGTAACCCTGTAAGAAACTTGAACTCGATTGGTCATTCTAAAAATGTATATGTGTGGACGTATAAGTCCAACCTCATTGGTCGATATTTTCTGTGCTTGTTCATATACACAAACAACTATGTAAGTTTTCGATCGGAGGTATCTCCATCGCATCGCTCGTGTGTGATGAAACCACCATTTGAGCAGTCTTAAGTTAGGCATTGATTAGCAGGAAAGAAAAGAAAGCTGGTTGATGAGATAAAGTCCGATACTAATGACATCAGTCTATTATGTCTTAAACTGTTGGTCTGAGCCATACAGACAAGGTCATGTTCGCTTTGACACCATCATTTTGCCAACTACTCTCAGTGTTTCAACTACCATGAAGCGTTGGTATTTGAATTGATACGCCTTTGTTAAAGATTTACCATACATTTTGTGCATGTGTCTGTCTGATGCAGCGTCACTCTGTGATGCAATTTAACTGATGATGATTTCTAACATAATAGTGAATTATCTTCCAGTCAAAACTTCAGGTAAAAGTGATATGTGGATAGAACAGACTGGTCCGGGAATGGACCAATCAAAATTTACTTCGTGTGAACTATATCTATAGATGGATCACCATGTCTTTTTTCTTGCATCTATCTGACAGATGCAGATGGACTTTCTCCTTGTTTACTAGGCAATCAGTAGTCTTCTCTATATTATTTCGGTGGGATGGTCCATGAACATGAAAATCAGTTATCAAGCAAAGAGATTTAACTACCGATAGAGAATGGGATCTGTGATGATATCTGCACGATGACCTTTCTACACCTCACTGTGTGTTGTCAGTACAACCATCTTTATCGTCACCAGCATTACAATCCCAACATCGATGTTGTCTATGTGGAGAAGATTCGACAAAATGCCAGGAAGATGATTGGAGTAATTTGTTTGAGGTTCGGTTGGTATCGTATGAGTTACTGGATGTACCAACATGTGAGATGAAACCAGATAAGGGTATGGAGTAATGAGATGTCTGGTGAACCGTATGAACTTCATTACCACTCTACCGTCTGGATTCGGCTAAACTCGTATCATGCTGTAGGTGTGTTTCGCAGTCATTGATACTCTGGAGATATCTCATTATGTGTCTGAATTGTGGTGTCGAAAGTGTAACGCTATGGATTGTGAGGCGAAATAATGTTGCAGTATTGGTCGAACTCATGTGGACCGACCTCTCTTAATAGGAGGCATACCTTCCAGGAATCATCTTAGCCAGCAATATCCACTTTGAAGTAGTCTTCGTAATGACTGAACCAGTATTCGGAATTCTTTATGACATGAGGATGATAGTGAAATTCAGTTGTGGTATTGAGAATGTGGTCAACTGACGGTGGTATTAAAAGTGGTGTAGTAGGCAATGATTTTGCAGCATACATTTTGGATTCCGTTAGAATCTTAACAATCCTCACTTGTTGTTCCAGGAATTTGTCCAACTTCAAAGAGTCTATTGTCCAATATCCTATTCCTATCGCGTTTCTGTCAACTGATAGTAAGATATCCGGTGATATAAACTAGGGGACAATAAGGAACAAGAACAACTTCCTATATTCTAATCTATAAGTAACTGCTGACATTTGTATGGCTGTTCAATTGCTTTCAGATCAGTTGTTTAATGCAATTCATAGTCCGTTACCTTAACAACCATTGTTGATGGTAAGCCATTAGTTTTCAGCCTAATCTGTTCAAAAATTAATCCAAATCACATATCCTATCACATGACTACTAAAATTGAACTATTGAAATCACGAGAGTTTTTTTAGCCTCATTTTATAATGAATTCGTTTTTTATTTGTCAATAAACAAACTTTTTCCGCTCATGTTGTTTTAACCCTGGAAGACAGAAAGAGAGAGAGAGAAGGGAAGGAAAGTCATACAGGAATAATTTGACATTTGTTGTTTTCAGGAAACAGATATACCACACTTCCTTTCAAATTAATGGGTAAACAAAGAAACAGGATAGATAGTAAGATTAATTTTTCGCAATTACTAAGTTTATTCCCTTGACTGGAAAGAAAGATACACCCCGAAGATTATTATTATTATTATTACTTGTCCCTTCGGTTACTAGTAAAACATAGGACTTCACTAGCACGTCTCCAGTACACTCTCTTCTCTACAATCTTTTGAACATCGCTCCACGACTGCCAACAAGCTCCCACTTCTTCCTCACACCATCTTCATCATGTCACCCTCACCTCACACACACAACTCACCGTTTCCCATCTGGGTTCCACTCGACGACCTGACATGCAGCGTGATGTCCCCAAATCGGTCTTCTCAGTGCATGCTCAATCCAATTCATCTCCACTCCCTTCCAATGCATATTTGTTGAGTGATAGGTTATTGCTTCGTTGGTTCGTTACCAGCCAACCAGCCAACCAGCCAGAGTCCCTTCCTGCTTATTCTCATTGTTCTGGCCATCTGATCTTCAGAAACGAGACAGTGTAGGAAGTTGTTGATGGATGTCTGTAGTTTGTGGGAAATCCCTTTCATAACGCACCAAGTCTCTCAACCATCACACAGAAACACTGACTTACTTGACTGACATTAATGTTGGGAATCCGGATGTTGTTGGCGCTTTATGCTGAGTGCAGTGCAGTAGATCTCCACACTGATTTCAGGTTTAATGAATGCCTGTCTTGCTGTCTTTCCGATCCTGGTTGCTTTGACGTCCTCGTCTGTGCCCCGAAGATATGCCACACTATGTGTTTAACTAATTCAGTAGAAAAAAATATACTACTGACATTGATATGAGTAGCTACAGTCCGTTAACACCAAAATCCTGTTTTAAGAGAAGTTAGAGAGTTTGACAAAAGATGAATTCAAATGGTGTACACAGCTGGAAAATTAAGGAATGCGGCTTTGTAGTATCACGTAAATATTATACTTCTTTACTTCGGAATCCTTATTTCATAAAGATGACCAAATCCGCTGTTGAAATGTTTCAGTTTTACCTTAATGTGATGATATTTTGAGCAAGTTAGTTTGAGATGTTACAAAGATGCTTGATTTTCGACTGTTCACTTCTTATTTATGGATAATAATCAAGAATGTATGAGAGGGGACTTATCTTCTAGTACTACAGGTTGGTCATTGTTGGACTCGTCAACTTATGCGTCTATATCCTCATCTGAGATTTCGGAAGGTTCCCTGTCATTTATCACACGGAATTATGCATTTGAATTACTGATCAATTCGAGAAAAGTACCAGACCATGACCATTCTGTAGCAAAGAGTTTACAGTGGATGTTAAGATGATGGGACCTAGAAAAAGAGAAAATGGTTAAATTGTTTTTCCTGTTGGTGATTGATCTTACACGTTGTGTTACATGAATGCACAGACAGATAAGGGGAAAAAAAATCAATGTTGAACTTCACACACAAGTGCATCAATTCAATTTGCCACACTTCAAAGTAGTACAATAGAATAGGTGGATAGAACAGGAGTGACATCATCGCAGACGAATTTGTATGAGAGGATAAGAAATTTGAAAATGATGGTTGGTTCGAATATTCAAGCTTCAGAATATTTGAAAGAGTGAATACATCCGTACCACTGTCATCGATTTTCAGTCATGTTACCCCTGATTCCTATTGTCTCAGAGAATCCGTCCAGGTAATCTACTCCTCCTTGCACGACTTAAAGCAATAGTCAGAGACTTCACTGACTGTTACCAATTCTTGGCCTGACCGCCTTCAACTCTCATCCAACATAACCCAATTCCATATAGAATGGCACATCGAAGTGTGAAGTGACTTTCTCTGCACAGTACACGTCGAAGTCACTTCAGTCGATGAAGGGCCATAACTCCTTGACAGAACCACTGCCTATTGAATAGTACCTTACCATAATCGTTTGCTATGATAAAAAGCTACCATTGATAAACCGAAGTTTTGTAAAACTAAGATAAAGGTGATGAACTTTCCTGTACCTACCTAAAGAATGACGAGAGAAGGGATTAACTGAAGGATCGATTACTAAAAGAGCTTCAGCGCAAATATAAATGATTTGTTTGCTAAATCTTAACATACGCCTCATATGATATTGTTGATAAATCTGGTTTCCTGACAAAAAGGCAGGAGCATCACTTTATATTCCATATTAGATTTGTTTATTTGATATAGTAGGGACAGCGTGATATAGTATTATTTACTTAACCACCTTTTGAGTATAAATCATTACCTGTCATAATCATATTAGTGTGACCAGACCGTTTTCCACATCTGATTTTTATAGTCGTGTCACATGCTTCATATTCTCTCTTTCGATTAGTGGTCAATTTTTCCATATCTCTGCCATACGTGTTACATCATTCACCCTATATATGTTGAGTGCTGATTGATTCTATGAAAAAAGATTCAGCAATCAATCTCACTCTCTCCCTCTCTACCTCTCTAACTACCTACCTACCTACCTACCTACCTACCTACCTACCTACCTGCCTACCTACCTACCTACCTACCTACCTACCTACCTACCTACCTACCTAATTTTGTTGAACTTAAGCGGTACAGTGGTATTATGTCACCCACACAACCTACTGTGTGCTTGTGTCTTAATGCATCCATCGGAATATTACCCAGTTCATTTCTAGATAATTGATCTACTTGCAGTCTGTCATTCTATATTTAGCTAAATTTCTATCTCCCGATTATCTGACTGACGTCGACCAGCTAGTTTGACATATGTACTTAACCTCGCTCACTGTCATTACATGGAATTTGAGAGATTCGATTATTTTGCCTAATTAGTTCTATCAGCATTCCCTGCAACACTACAGTCTCAGTGCAACAAATATTCATCAACCTCATTCAACAGTTATATGAAGACACCACATGCCAAGTGATCCACAATGGAAACCTCAGTCATGCCTTTCAAGTGAAGTGAAGACAGGAGTAAAACAAGGCTCCCACCTACTATATATCACCCATCATATTACTCACTGTGGTTGACTGGACTGGATCATGCAACAAACAATGAGGAGCTATGAGAAGAGGGGGATACGCTGGCTACACCGGAAGAAAGATCCCACAAGAAGATTTGGATTACGCCAACCATCACTTGTGTCTGATGTCACACTAACTCGAAGATGTACAGGCAAAAACTAACAAGTTGATAGAAGAGGTGAGGCAGTGAAGGAAGAGGGACTTCAAGTGAACGTAGAGAAGACAGACGTGATGAAGATGTCCAACCGACAACAGCATCAACAACAACAAGAAGAAGAAGCTCAAATCACCATGAACGGGAGAAACTTTAAGGAAATAGTCTCTTTCACCTACCTAGGCAGCATCGTTTCAACTACAGGTGGCGGCACAGGCACAGATGAGGACGTCAAAGCAACCAGGATCGGAAAGACAGCAAGACAGGCATTCATTAACCTGAAATCAGTGTGGAGATCTACTGCACTGCACTCAGCATAAAGCGCCAACAACATCCGGATTCCCAACATTAATGTCAGTCAAGTAAGTCAGTGTTTCTGTGTGATGGTTGAGAGACTTGGTGCGTTATGAAAGGGATTTCCCACAAACTACAGACATCCATCAACAACTTCCTACACTGTCTCGTTTCTGAAGATCAGATGGCCAGAACAATGAGAATAAGCAGGAAGGGACTCTGGCTGGTTGGCTGGTTGGCTGGTAACGAACCAACGAAGCAATAACCTATCACTCAACAAATATGCATTGGAAGGGAGTGGAGATGAATTGGATTGAGCATGCACTGAGAAGACCGATTTGGGGACATCACGCTGCATGCCGGGTCGTTGAGTGGAACCCAGATGGGAAACGGTGAGTTGTGTGTGTGAGGTGAGGGTGACATGATGAAGATGGTGTGAGGAAGAAGTGGGAGCTTGTTGGCAGTCGTGGAGCGATGTTCAAAAGATTGTAGAGAAGAGAGTGTACTGGAGACGTGCTAGTGAAGTCCTATGTTTTACTAGTAACCGAAGGGACAAGTAATAATAATATTAATTCATTCTATCAGATTCGACAAAGTTGTCAAAACTTATCTCTGAGTGTGTTTGTCAGTTCATATGTCAACCTAATTACAGCCTCGTTCAGGATACTATGTAAAGTTTCCTACGTTCTTTCCTTATTGGGTAACACAATGAGGCTGCGAAATACTTTCTACTGGTATTCTCCTTATTATTTTGTTTCCTGTGTGTTCGTACAAATTTTCTCATAAACGGTAGAGGATAATTGTTAGATATTACCACTTCTCTTATGTGTTCCAGTTCCTTGTTTAGGTCATCGCACTGACTGACTAGTCAGTTTTCTGGCTCTATCACTTAGATATTCGATTAAACCTGCCTAAATTGACTGACATTTGAAGAGATGACTTGAAGTGTAGATACCTTTTGGAATGTATTGGTTTCCTGTTTTATCCTGCAATCTAATTTGGGTTGGTTACAGTATTCCGTTCATCCAATTTACATCCAACATATGCAATTGGCATGATGCAACACTTCCATACCAGGGATATGGAGGAAGCCTTTTACTACGAATAGAAACAAAGAATATGAGTCGACAGGACTATAAAATCAGACATCTAGAGGAGTGTGACTACACTGATGTAATTATGAGCAATAATGATTTATACTCGAAACGTCACCCAGTAAAGAATACTGTATAACACTTTTTCTTGACTATATCAAATAAATAAATCGACTTATGGAGTTGCATTCTACAACTGTGCCCAAGTTTTACACTCACAGTACTGCTTTATGGTTCTGTTCCATAGGTCAAAGATATGACCTTTGATTCATCTTCGTGACTAGCAGTGGAATCTTATTTAAGACTCGTCAGGTGTATGTACCTGCCATGCGCCATCAGAATTCCAGCAATC